AACAAATCTGGATGGAGAAGAGCTAAAACTCTGAACCTTGTGAGTGTGGACGCAGTTTTCACCAAGCTGGTGCAGAGGTGTGGATATTGCTCCCAAGGACTCCAGCGTGGGATCCTCCACTCTGTAGGGCAAGTGGGTTCTGCTCAAGGTTGGAGACCACAGAATGAATCAATTATTCCAAGGACAGTGATATGTGATCTCTTCATGAAAGGTCTTCAGGTTGCTGGCATCAAGAAACACAAGCTCCTGATGAGAAATGGGGACCATACTGCTCATGTTGTTTTGACAAGCTTTACAATACTGAAAAATCCCAAGTGCCTGCAAATAAGCTCTGGACATAGCTGTGTGGAGATGTACAAAATGGCCCATTTAGGACAGGCTGGGGCTGCAGCTCTCCGTGGGTTCTCGGGCACTTGCAGCAGCAGTGAGTTGTGGATGGGGCCCAGGGTCCCAGTACACTCCAGAGGATACCAGGCTCTAGGGCACTCTTCCTTGCCATCCCCATTGCCAGCTGCTGCCTGTGATGTCTCTTCTAGAAACCTTGTTTAGATCAGCCATGGTGAAGCAGAAGCCAGGGAAGGCAGGTTTTTGTACCTGGTGTGGGTGCTGCAGTCTGTGCCCCCTGCTGTGGAGAGAAGATGTCCTCTGCTGTCTCCTCTCTGCATGTCCAGAGATCACACTGGCACTGCTGGGGCCAGCTGAGGTGGGTGCCTGTGCTTGGACAGCATCGTGCACCCACAGCACTGGCTGCACTTCAGCACCCACAGATGTCCCCTGGGCATTACACAGCACAGGGAGCCTGTGGCTGGGTCTGCAGAGCCTGCTTACTCGCTGTGCTTCGGAAAAGCACAGCATTCTCTCACTGAATTCAACATAATGCCTGAAACAAGCACAGCAGAGGCACAGAGGATGGGAATGAGCCCAGCATTTCTCTCTTGGCCTCCTGCAGGTCCCTGGGAGGATTACAGTGGGCAGGAGCTGTGCTGTGAGCATCACCTGCTCTGGAGGCAGTGCCAGTCCCCTGGCAGAACTCTTCTGCCAT